TGAGACAGAGTCTTGCTCTGTCGCCCAGGCTGGAGTGCAGTGGCATGATCTCAGCTCACTGCAAGCTCCGCCTCCCGGGTTCACGCCATTCTTCTGCCTCCACCTCCCAAGTAGCTGGGACTACAGGTGCCCACCACCATGCCTGGCTAAATTTTTTTTTCTATTTTTAGTAGAGATGGGTTTCACTGTTTAAGCCAGGATGGTCTTGATCTCCTGACCTCATGATCTGCCCACCTCAGCCTCCCAAAGTGCTGGGATTACAGGCATGAGCCACACCGCGCCCGGTGATATTAAAAATTAGCACCTGGCTAATTTTTAAGCATTTTGTAGAGATGGGGTCTCACTACATTGCCCAGGCTGGTCTTGAACTCTTGGCCTCAAGCAATCCTCCTGCCTTGGCCTCCCAAAGCACTGGGACTACAGACATAAGCCACCATACCAGGCCTGTTTGTGCATCTGGAGTGTTGAAATGTGAGGTGAATCATGGGTTGTATATCTGCTGGGGGATGGGGACTGAGGTGGGGTGTTTGACAGCGCAGTGTATCGGTGTGCTTCACTGTGTGTGTCTGCGTGTGTAGTGGCAATGTCATAGTTACGTGTTTTGCAAGAGAAAGGGTGTGGGGGATGAATGTGGGACAGAGTTTGTATGGGATGCTTTGTGTCAGGATAGGGCAAGGTTGGAGCATGTGCATGATGGAGATTCTGAAAATAGAATATATTCAGAGATGCCGTGGTGTGTGTGTGTGTGTGTGTGTGTGTGTGTGTGTGTGTGTAGAGGGGTGTGAGGGTGCCCAGCTGTGTGAGTGGGTGTGTTGGGGGATGTCGTGGAGCTGTTTTCTGGTCCCAGAGGGAGAGAGAAAGCCCAGGAAATCTCACTTTCTCCCTGCCCCTGGGTCTCCAGGCAACGGCACCACTTTGGAGTTACCAGGAGACAAGGTTGCCAGGGCAACACAGGCGTGAGTGGCAGCTCTGGGACGAAGTCTGGGTGAGAAGATCCAGCCAGGGATCACGATCATTCACTTTGTTCCTCCCTTTCTCCCTGTTTCTCATCAATCCCACTTCCCTTCCTTCATTGTCTTAACGAGCCTGTATTTGAGAACCTACAAATGTGCCAGGTGCTATTCTGGGTACTGGAGAACAGAAGTGAACAAGACAAACAATGTCCCTGCTGTATCTCTCCTTCAGTGTTTCAGCTCCTGTCTCTTTGTCTCTCCTGCTCCCTTCTTTGTCCTGCGGTCCTGCCTTCCCCCCGTACCACAAGGAAGGCCCCACAGAACCCCTTAGCCAGCGAGGAAGTTGAGAGCCTTCATCTCACAGACTTTCGGGGATGGCTGTGTCCCTGAGCCTGTGTCCCCAGACACACACTCCTGCCCATACTCAGGTGCACAGAAACAAAAGCACACAGCTCATCCCCCTCTTCAATTCTCAGTTGTCATTGGATGACATCAGCAAAACCACACACAAATACATGCCGATCACAATACTCCTCTGAGATATCATAAGCCCCATTTTACAGGAGGGCAAACTGAGGCTAGGCGACTTTAAAGAATATGTCACTCATTCTGGTCTGCTCCTCCAATTCTTAATCCTTATATTTGTCTCATTAGCTGACAGTAACAGTATTCGTGCTAGTTCCCCCAGCAGCCTCCCTTAAGGAAGGGCCTTATTTCCCTATTTCCCTCGAATGCACCCTTTCCTCCGCATAGGTTCTAACCCTTCGCCCATTCACCAGAGGAATCGAGTTTTGATGGACAGATTCCTAAACCAATAGAGAAACTAAGTGAACTGTACCGAAGCAGCCTCGACTTGGGCGGGACTAAGACTGGGAAAGAGCCACCAATTGGACAGAGCTACGCGGCGAATGGCGGAGACGCTGAGGCGGGTGCTGACCAGGGACGGTGCGGCCTGGTCCGGGGAGGAGAACACGGCTGCCGCCGGACCGCCTTTGCTGCTTCTCGGCGCACCAGGGTCTGGAAAAACAGCGCTGCTATTTGCTGCGGCCCTAGAGGCGGCGGGGGAGGGCCAAGGCCCAGTCCTCTTCCTGACACGGAGGCCTCTACAAAGCCTGCCCCGCGGGACCGGAACGACTCTAGACCCAATGCGACTCCAGGTAACTGTGCGGTGGGAGCGGAGGCGTTCTAGCCAATGGTGGAGTAGATCCGGGACTATTGAGTGACAGGTAGACAAGCCCATGGAGGGGACGGTGGAAGGGCGGGCCAGGGCAGCCACGATGGGGCGGAGTCAGGCAGGCGCAGTGAGGGGTGGCACCACGCGGAGCTTAGTTAAGATTGAAGTGAGAGCCCATCCAATGATGGGCGGTGTTAGCAAGAGGCGGTGCCCAGAGGGTGAAGTCAGGCCCATCAAGGGGCGGGGCCAAGCTTGGGTCCATTCAGGACCAGAGTTGGCTCCTGTTGGTGTCAAGGATGAGGTCAGACCGACAATGCAATGCTGGGGGACGGTTTTCCGTGGAAAAACTGCCCTACAGATTTGGCCAAAAACAAGCAAAAATGACTTGCCCTCAACTAATACTCGGCAGTGATGACTGCTGGAAAAAGGGACGAATACAGGAATATTTAACCACTCTAAGCTGGGTCATCCTGGAACCAGGGAAACTATGCAAGAAGGCAGGGTTACTCTTGCGAGGAGTCTGGCTTCTTGTGCTGAATCCGGCCCTTTCCTTCTGTTTCTCCTTCTAGAAGATCCGCTTCCAGTACCCACCCTCAACCCGAGAGCTTTTCCGGCTCCTGTGCTCTGCCCATGAAGCCCCGGGGCCAGCCCCCTCCCTTCTGCTGCTCGATGGCCTAGAAGAGTACCTAGCGGAAGACCCAGAGCTCCAGGAAGCCGCCTACCTCATTGCCTTACTTTTAGACACAGCTGCCCACTTCAGCCACCGGCTTGGGCCTGGCCGGGACTGTGGGCTCATGGTGGCCCTCCAGACCCAGGAGGAGGCAGATAGTGGGGAC